AGTGAATAATTCTGATTTTGGGAGAGTCTCATATGTTTTTAAAGCACAATGAGGAAAATGGGAGGAAGCACCTCCAAACAGATCACCCCACAAAATTCATTTCAAGATGGGCATCATGATTTCCAGAGGATGGAAATGGGTCCCACACATGGGATCCTGAACTGGATCAACCCAAGTGTTGAGTTTAGACACTCCTGCCTTAGGGAGGGTTTTTGTGTTCCCTTGCAGTACCCTTCCTCTGCAGAGATCAGCTTCAAGATGTCCTGGGACCCCAAGAGAGGCTTTGTCATCCCCTCCCACTCCTTCGTGCCCTCTGGGATCCTCACATGCTCAGCCCACGTCAATGGCAGCGTCTTCAACTCCTACTACATGGCCCAGAGACTGGGTGAGTGCCCAGGGAGCTCATCTGGGAGCTCCTGCCTGTCTTAGCCTCTCTTAGATTTGATAGATCTCCCTGGGCTGCATCTGTAGCAAGTCCAAGCTGGAATGTTAAAAGTAAACTCCTTTCTCCTTTTTTTTCCTCCCTATTCAATAGAACTTGGACTGGCGCCACTCCTGGTTTTGAAAAAAGACCAAGTGCTGAGGTGGTACAAAACAGGAGTGTTTTATTCAAACCCCACCAAGGCTTTGTTTGCTTGGATTGAGCTGTATTTACATTAAAACAACCGCTGGTTCAGGACAAAGCAAACAGCAGCTTTCTTTTTGCTTCTGGTCATTAACCACGTGTGATTGTCGTATAAAAACCTCACTACACTGCTAATTCACACCTTTGCTTTTTATAGATTTTCTCTTGGTGATTTACTACATAATTTCCCTTAGATTTACAGCTGAACTTCAGCTCATAATTAAAATCTGAATTTGAAGCAGCCAAACATTAAATTTTTGAGTGCTGGGCATTTATATGAAACCAATTAGAATTTATTTTTCTTTTGTTTTCCATGTATGTTCTTTATCCCCTCATATATCTTCTATTTACTTGGACTTCATTCCCATTAGCTCATGGCATCCTTCTTTACAATCAGCACTCAGCTTTGAACAACAGGCTTGGAAATTTGTGTGGCAGCCAAATAAAAGTCCTGTAAATCTCTCTTTTTCTCCCTTTTTTTTTTTTCCCTGCTTGGAGTAATTTTTTATTAAAATCATGAATTCAAACCTACAAAACCTCTTAGGACATCCCTGTGCAGCTCAAAAGGAGCCAGGAAATCCCTTTCTGTCGTCTGTTACCCTCACTGGTCAGGTGTGGTTTTGATACTGGGCACCAAAAACTGATGGAAGTTCAGAGCTGATGTATTGAAGGATTGATAAATGTGTAAGAGCAAGACTTGGGGATCCCATTCAGGGATTTGGGGATCCCATTTAGGGATTTGGGATGCCATTCAGGGATTTGGGGATCCCATTTAGGGATTGAGGGATCCCATTTAGGGATTGAGGGATCCCATTTGGAGACTGAGGGATCCCATTTATGGATTGAGGGATCCCATTTAGAGATTGAGGGATCCCATTTGGGGATCCCATTCAAGGATTTGGGGATCCCATTTAGGGATTTGGGGATCCCATTTAGGGATTGAGGGATCCCATTCAGGGATTGGGGGATACCATTTAGGGATTGGGCAATCCCATTTAGGGATTGAGGAATCCTATTTAGGGATTGAGGGATCCCATTTGGGGATTGAGGGATCCCATTTGGGGATTGAGGGATCTTATTTGGGGATCCCATTCAAGGATCTGGGGATCCCATTTGGGGATTTGGGGATCACATTTAGGGATCTGGGGATCCCGTTTAGGGATTGAGGAATACCATTTAGGGATTGAGGATCCCATTTAGGGATTGAGGGATCCCATTTAGGGATTGAGGAATCCCATTTGGGGATTGAGGGATCCCATTTGGGGATCCCATTCAAGGATTTGGGGATCCCATTCAGGGACTGGGGGATCCCATTCAGGAAGGAAGGGGAGCTGGGCAGGAGAGGTCAGGAGAAACCGTCTCATGTCCAACCAGAGTGGATCCTCTCGTTCTGAGGCCCTCAAAAGGAGGAGTCAGCTTTGGGAACTCTTTTCTGTGGAGCTGATGAGAGGGTTGGAGCCGTGGCATGCAGAGGAGCGGCTGTTCCTGACTGTCCATGGGATCAGGGATCCACTGGGGGATCCCAGACTGCTGCAGGGAGTGCTGCTGGTCACAGCTTTGCCTCTTCCATTGCAGAGGGCAGGATACAGAACCTGGCTCTGAAGGCAAGTGCCAAAAAGCTGCTGGTTGGAGAAACTCTCAAGCTGGAGTGCAAAGCAGAGACCTTCATCAATGGGCGCATCGAGTTCGTCTGGACGTGTCCCCGTGGCACGGTGAGTGCAT